GATGTAGTGAACACTCTGTAATGGCTGAAATGACTCATTGAACCTTCCTCATTGGCTGAGATGATCCAATGAACTCTCCCTGTTGGTTGAAATGACCCACTGAATATTCTCCATTGTCTGAGATGACTCACTAAACTGTTAATATTGGCCAAGATGACCCAGCGAACCCCTCCTACTGGCCATGATGATTAGTGAACTCTACCTGTTAGCCAAGAGACCCCATGCACCCTTCCTAGTTAGCCAAGATGATCTACACGATAACTTCGCATTGGCAAAAATTACCAAGGGGACCCTCCCTAATGAACCAAGATGACCCAGTGAACTTGTTCCACTGGCTGGAATGACAAAGGGAACAATGTCTGCTACCCAGCGAAGCCTTCCTACTGGCCTAGATACCAGCAAGCCCTCCCTGCTAGCCAAAGCAGCCCCCGTGAACTCTCAGCATAGGCAGAGATGACCAAGCAAACCCTCTCTATCAGCCAAACTCCAGGTGAGCGTACGAGACCTCCCTTGGATCCTTCCCTCCCCCGATGCGACCACCAGGGGGCACTGGGCTGGCAATGTGCTTGCCAATCCCAGGCCCTCAGTGCCTGCTGGCCAGGGACTCACCATGATGTTGGGCAGCGTGGCATAACGGGGCTCGTTGAGCCTCAGGTCAGCTGTCACCACAGCTGGCAGCTTCAGGCGCAGGGTCTCCAGGCCCCCGTCGATCTCCCGCTCCACTTTCAACTTGTCCCCCTCCAGCGTCACCTGGGAGGCGAATGTGCCCTGGGGAGGGACAGTGTAGGAGAAGAGTGGGTGAGGCTAATTCAGGTCCGATCCGAGCAGTCCGCTTATGACACTACTGAGTACATGCACGAACAAGTGAATGAAGGAGGGAGCAAACAATGCAGGGTCCCATGAGGTTTAGAATCGATCCTGTACACCTGGGAGAGCGTGTCTTTCCTTTTCCTGAGAGCCACGGTGTATGTCCTGATGTCCTACGTCCTGATGCTGCCAGTGAGGCCTCCCTGTCTTCCTGACAGTGAACATGTACTGAGTGCTGGGCCCTGTGCTAAGCATCTGATGGGTCAATCATCGAATCCTTGTAGGAACTTTATGAGGTAAATGTTATTATCCCCACTTTACAGATGAGGAAAACTGAGGCAGCGAGATGCTGAGTTACGTGTCTACTGCCACCCACAGCTGGTAAATCCAAAAGCTGACAATCTGACTCCCAACAGCCCCCCGTGAGGCCCCTCCACTGGGCCGACAACAGAACTGTGTGTGTCCACACCGGTCCTTAAACCACCTTCTGGGACCCCATCCTCTGGCCAGGTCCCTTTGCCTCTCAGTCCTGAATCAACATTTCCTCCCCTGGTAACTGATGCCACCTATACTCCTCTTTGTCTAACGACCTTTCTCCCTGTCCACTTACTAACATCTTTCAGGTCTTAGTGTGAACATCACATCCCTTCGTTCAGAACTTCCTCCTAGTGCCCTTATGAACCTGTCCCTGGAGATACACTGTGAACACGACCAGTGAAGCACCAGCTGGGGTGGGCTCATATTCTGCCAGGGAAGACAACCAGTCACCAGGGAAACACACACACACACAAATGAGATCATTTCAGATCAGAAGGAATAAGAAGAAAATAAGACACATGATATGAGAGCAAGAAGGGCGCAATGTTAGAGAAGCTGGTCAGATAGTGATAAATGCTTTGAAGATAAAACAGGATCATGGTTTTGAATGTGCTGTCCCATCCAGTAGCCACTGGCCGCGTGTGGCTGCCCAGCACTTGAAATGTGGCCAGTGCAGCTGAGGAATGAATTTTTAAATTTTATTTAAATTTAAACACTGACAATTTGGCCAGGCGCAGTGGCTTATGCCCGTAATTCCAGAGCTTTGAGGGGCCAAGGCGAGTGGATCGCTTGAGGAGTTCGAGACCAGCCTGGCCATCATGGTGAAACCCTGTCACTACTGAAAATACAAAAATGATCCAGGCATGGTGATGCAAGCTTGTAATTCGATCTACTTGCGAGGCTGAGGCAGGAAAATCACTTAAATTCAGGAGGCGGAGGCTACAGTGAGCCGAGATCGTGCCACTGCACTCCAGCCTGGGGACAAAACAAGACTCCACCTCAAAAAAATATAAATAAATAAATACTGAGAATTCAAGATACGTTACCATGATTGTGGTGATGATTTCATGGATGTAACACATATCAAAACTTATCAAATTTTGGAGGGCTGAGGTGAGCAGATTGCTTGAGCCCAGGAGTTCAAGACCAGCTTGGGCAACATAGTGAGACCCCCATCTCTATCTAAATAAAAGTGTTTAAGAAAAGCAAACTTCACAAATTGTGCAACTTAGATATGTGCAGTTTACTGTAGGTCAATAACTCAATAAGGCTGTTTTTTAAAAAAACAAAACAAAACAAAACAAAAACACAGATACCCAATGCAGCTACTGGAAATGCAGTTATTGGAAAACTTTTTGTTCTGAACAACTTGGGTGTGTAAATCTACTTCAACTGTCATCTTTAGGAATGTGTTTCTCATAGAAATTTGGCACCTGAATTGAGATGTGCTGTAAATATAAAATGCATGCTGAATTTTGAAGATTTAGTACAAAGAAACTCCAAAAAACATAAAATACAGATGGTCCCTGGCTTACGGTGGTTTGAATTAAGATTTTTCAGTTTTCCGAAGGTGTGACAGTGGTAAGCATTCAGTGGAAACCACACTGCCAGTACCCGATACAACCATTCTGTTTTTTTAGTTCCAGTACAGTGTTTGATAAATTACATGGGATATTTAGCACTTTATTATAAAATAGGCTTTATGTTAGATTATTTTACCCCACTGTAGGCTAACATAAGTGTTGTGACATGTTTAAGGTAGGCGATGATGTTTGGTAGATTAAGTTTATTAAATGCATTATTTGAGTTATAATATTTTCAATTTATGATGGGTTTATCAGGACATAACCCCACTGCTGGTAAAGCATATGTATCTCAATATTTTCTATGTTGATTACATGTTGAAATGATAATATTTTAGATATAATGGGGTGAAATAAAATATAATTTTATCTGTTTCTTTTTACTTTTTTATGTAGCTGTGAAAAATTTTAAATTTGTCTATGCGCCTTTCTTTCTTTTTTTTTTTTTTGAGACAGGGTTTCCCTCTTTCACCCAGGCTGGAGTGAAGTGGCATGATCCCAACTTAATGCAGTCTTGACCTCCTGGGCTCAAGGGATCCTCCTACCTCGGCCTCCTGCGTGGCTGGGACTACAGGCATGTGCCACCACACCCGGCTAACTTTTCTTTCTTGGTAGAGATGGGGTCCCACTGTGTTGCCAAGGCTGGTCTCGAACCCCTGGGTTCAAGTAATCCTCCCACCTCGGCCTCCCAAAGTGCTACGACTATAGGTGTGAGCCACTGTGCCCAGCCTGCATTTTTTTTCTTTTTTTGAGTCGGAGCCTCCCTCTGTTGCCAGGCTGGCGTGCAGTGGGGTGCGATCTTGCCTCCCTGCAACCTCTGCCTCCCGAGTTCAAGCAGTTCTCCTCCTTCAGCCCCCTGAGTAGCTGGGACTACAGGCACACGCCACCACACCCAGCTAATTTTTAAATTTTTAGTAGAGATGGAGTTTCAACATGTTGACCATGCTGGTCTCAAACTCCTCCTGACCTCAAGTGATCCGCCTGCCTCAGCCTCTCAAAGTGCTGGGATTACAGGCGTTGAGTCACCACGCCTGGCCCCAGCCTGCATTTATATTGGACTGGCATAAATGGGGATTGGGGAACCTGGAGTTGAGGGGGTGGGCATGAGTATTTCACGTAGGATGGCAAGAAAGTCCCCTTTGAAGAGGTGATACCTCAGCAGAGATCTCAAGGAGGGGAAAGAGAAAGCCCTGAGGCCATCTGAGGGAGCAGTGCTCCAGGAGGAGAGAACAGCGAATGCAAAGGCCCTGAGGCAGAAATGAAGTTTGAGGGATGAGGGCCTGGCCCTCAGCGGGTGCTCCCTGCTCCAGCCTCACCTGTGGCCAGTCCAGAAATCCAGCTGTCATCTGCCCTGTCTGGTTACAGTCATCATCGATGGCCTGAATGGGGAAAGAGAGGAAACTGTATGACAATCAATGGAGCTCGTGGACCATTCGGGCCTCTGTCTAGAACAGGGCTTGGCAAACTTTTTCTTTCTTTTGTTTCTTTTTGAGATGGAGTCTTGCTCTGTCACCCAGGCTGGAGTGCAGTGGTGCCATCTTGGCTCACTGCAACCTCCGCCTCTCGGGTTCAAGCAATTCTCCTGCCTTAGCCTTCTGAGTAGCTGGGATTATAGGCGCCCACCACCACGCCCAGCTAATTTTTGTATTTTTAGTAGAAACGAGATTTCAACATGTTGGCCAGGCTGGTCTTGAACTCCTGACCTCAGATGATCCCCCAAAGTGTTGGGATTACAGGCACGAGCCACCGTACCCAGCCGGGTTGGCAAAATGTAGTAAATATTTTAGGCTTTGCAGGTCATACAGTCTCTGTCACAGTGACTCAGCTCTGCTGTTGTAGTGCACAGGCAGCCATAAATAATATGTACATGAACGTATGTGGTGATGTTCCAATATAGCTTTATTTACAAATCAGAGGTCGCTATGGACCATAGTTCACTGATTTTTGGTCTAGAACGATCCCCTCACTTGGGTCCAGAGATAAGCAGGCACTTGTCCAGGAACATGTGGGGCTACCTGGCATTCCTGTCGCCAAGTCTCTGCCCTCTGAATAAAGCCTCTCAGGAATCCCGCCCTATGTGGCCCCTGGGCAGCTGCATGAAGAGGATCTGGGCCAGCGAGGACATTCTAGCCCCAACCCCAGTGATTGGTTCAGGGAGGGGCACATGACTCAAGCTGCACCAAAGAAGAGTAAGCCCTGGGAGTTTGCTGGAGCCCTTGGGAAAGAGGCTCCTTTCTTTCTGCTGGGGTCACTGGGCCGGTGGGATCTGAGCTTGGAGATGCAGACAGTGAAGCCAAGGTAGAGGGGAGCCTACAGCTCATGTGTGACCCTGGATCAAGCTGTGCCTGAAGCCCCTGATTTACATGAGCTAATAAATTCACTTTCTGGCTTAAGCCAGTTTGAGTTGTGAATCTGTTTCCTAGAACAAACAGCATCCTGACCAGTTCATCCGGCATTTCCCCAGCTGGAGGTCCTGGCCCCAGGAACTGTCCCTGGCCCAGGACAGGTAGGACATCAGAGTCTGAGAACCACCAGCAAATGCAGGGGACTGCTAAAGCCATGCTTCCAACACCTCGACCTCTGCAGCCCCACGCAGGCCCTGTCTTTTTGGCCTGTTCTCCAGGTAGGCCCTTCTGCCACAGTTGGTTGATCTGTACTCTGATGCCCCTGCTGTTGGTAATCTCTCGTTTTCTTCGGACTTTCTCAGGGCTGGGCAGGACACCCGATGACCTATCTGGACCCACCAGCCTCCTTTTTGTCCCAGAACTGACCTGGCCCTGGGATCTCCATCTCTCTCCGGGGGCCCCAGCTCTACCTGAGCCTGCTGTGCTCTGCTGTCTCCGTGCCCTGCTTGACATACCTTGCCATCTTTGGTCTTCCTTCTCAGCCTCCATCCCTAATTCCCTGCCTCTTCTCACTCCCATCTGCCTGTGGTTCTTCTGACGTCCCTCTTCTGTCTTTCCCCTGGTTGAGGCCATGAGGTTTGTCCTCAAATGAGATGAGCTACCCCTGAGGAGAGGTGGTGCCCCAGGGTCTCCTGGGGAAACAGATGAGCCCCATGTACCTGTCTCAGTGGGGAGCACCAGTGTGGCAGGGAAGGTGCTGGTCCGGTCCTCACCCAGCCCTAACCTCCTTCCCTAACTCCTGGGCTCCAATCTCCCCTTCCAGTCCATTCTCGAAGCCCAGGGAGGCTTTTTCCGCACCTAGTGCTGATCCCACCCCTCTTCTGCTCATAGACCTCCCATGGCTCCCTGGCCACCTGCTGTCTCACCCCACATCTCCACCACCCTCCTCCCGAGCAGGGATGAGCAAGGGGGCACAGGGAGAGCGGACCACAGCTACCTGTTTGCCCAGCAGCACCAGGTCCACCTTCTCCTGCTCTGCCAGCTTAGCCAGGACCCAAGCCACCTGCAGTGCCCTCCAAAATTCTCAAGTCTCTGTTTCAAGCCCAGGTCTGTCTCCTGAATCTGCATCAATGTCTCCTGGGCTCCTCACACTCCCCGTGTAGGATCCTCCTCTAACCTCCTGTTCTTCCTGGGTTTCCCACCTGTGTTACCAAGGCAGACCCAGGCACTGTCCTTGCCTCCTCCCTGCCCTCCCTCCCCACGCTAAGCCCAGTCTGTCCTGCCACATCATGTCTCTGCTCTGTCCCGACACCTTTGGCTGAGGCCTCATTCTCCCCACGTGACCATCACCTCAGCCTCCCAGCCTCTAAACTCAACCAAAAGGATCTTTCTTCTTTTTTTTTATTTCTTTTTTTTTTGAGACACAGTCTCGCTCTGCTCCCAGGCAGGAGTGCAGTGGTGCCTGGAGTGCAGTGGTGCGATCTTGGCTCACTGCAACCTCCACCTCCCAAGTTCAAGTGATTCTCACGCTTCAGCCTCCCAGGTAGCTGGGATTACAGGTGCACACCACCACACCTGGCTAATTTTTTTACTTTTAGAAGAGATGGGGTTTCACCGTGTTGGCCATGCTAATCTCAAACTCCCGACCTCAAGTGATCCGCCCGCCTCAGCCTCCCAAAGTGCTGCGATTACAGGCATGAGCCACTGTGCCTGGCCCAAGAGGATCTTTCTAACACGCAGAGGGACTCTGTCCTCCCTGCTCAAACTCTCTGTCAGGAGGGTCAGCAAAGTCCCAAGCTGCTCAGCTTGGAGTGGCTGAATGCCCTGGGCCTGGCCACCTGCTGTCTCACCTCACATCTCCACCACCCTCCTCCCAAGCAGGGATGAGCAAGGGGGCACAGGGAGGGCTGACCACAGTTACCTGCTTGCCCAGCAGCACCAGGTCCACCTTCTCCTTCTCTGCCAGCTTGGCTAGGACCCGAGCCACCTGCAGGGGACCCAAGCGTTCTGCTTCTGCTGGGGGCACCTCCACGTGGATACCTCGGTCTGCACCCATAGCCAGGGCTGTACGAATGGTCTCCTGCCGAGGACAGAGGGGCTTGACTTGGCTATCCTCAGGGCAACCCAGGAGTCTGGCCCCAGCCCCTCCTCCCTCAGACCCAGGAGTCCAGACCCCCAGCCCCTCCTCCCTCAGACCCAGGAGTCCAGGCCCCCAGCCCCTCCTCCCTCAGACCCAGGAGTCCAGGCTTCCAGCCTCCTCCTCCCTCAGACCCAGGAGTCCAGGCTATCAGCCCATCCTCCCTCAGACCCAGGGGTCCAGGCTTCCAGCCTCCTCCTCCCTCAGACCCAGGGGTCCAGGCTTCCAGCCTCCTCCTCCCTCAGACCCAGAGTCCAGGCTTCCAGCCTCCTCCTCCCTCAGACCCAGGGGTCCAGGCTTCCAGCCTCCTCCTCCCTCAGACCCAGAGTCCAGGCTTCCAGCATCCTCCTCCCTCAGACCCAGGAGTCCAGGCTATCAGCCCATCCTCCCTCAGACCCAGGGGTCCAGGCTTCCAGCCTCCTCCTCCCTCAGACCCAGGAGTCCAGGCTTCCAGCCTCCTCCTCCCTCAGACCCAGGGGTCCAGGCTTCCAGCCTCCTCCTCCCTCAGACCCAGGGGTCCAGGCTTCCAGCCTCCTCCTCCCTCAGACCCAGGGGTCCAGGCTTCCAGCATCCTCCTCCCTCAGACCCAGGAGTCCAGGCTATCAGCCCATCCTCCCTCAGACCCAGGGGTCCAGGCTTCCAGCCTCCTCCTCCCTCAGACCCAGAGTCCAGGCTTCCAGCCTCCTCCTCCCTCAGACCCAGAGTCCAGGTCCCAGCCCCTCCTCCCTCAGACCCAGAAGTCCAGCCCCCTCCCCAAGACCCTGAGCACCTGGCACTGTGCAGGCCCACAGCTGACGGCGATGACCTCCTTCACCAGCTTCTTCTCCTTGAGCCGCACAGCCTCCTCCACTGCGATCTCACAGAAGGGGTTCATGGAGTGCTTCACACCATCTGTGACCACACCGGTCCTGTCAGGTTTCACTCGGATCTGCTCAGCAGGAGGGGAGGGGGCGGGGTCAGGAGGAAACAGGCAAGAAGGTGGGGGCCTCAGCGCCAACCCTGTCCCAGGCTGGATGAGGACAACAACAGCCTGGAAAGGGGCAGGGCCTTGTCCGGGGTCACACAGCTTCAGGGACAGAGCTGGGTTAGAGCTTGTAGGCAGGGGCAGGTCACCCTGTCTCCTTCTCTCATCCAGCCATTCCTGGGTACCAGGGACATCTGACTTGATCATCCCTACTGTGTCACTGCTCCTCTCAGGCCTGAAAGAGTGTTTCTCAAATTTACAGAATTTATGGGAACCCACAGTGAGAGGTGCATTTTACCATATCTCCAAGTGTATATAAATACGTAACACACTGACACAGAAATACAAAAGACGAGAAGAAAAGGAAAAATCAGTTAGGTAGACAGTTAAGGCTGGTCCTCAGAGAAGCAGCCTGCCTGAAAAATCACAGCTACCGGCAACAATAGAGCAGCCAGAGGCAAACTCAGCCTGCACGTGCACAGACAAGCAGGCAGGTCCCGCACAGAAGCCTTTTGTTCTCCGTGTGATTGACAGGCTCCCAGGAAAAGTTCCCTCCCCTTTTCAGGCATGTACCTTGTGGTCTCCGTGGGAACTTGCACAGGGAGGGGCGGAGCTTACCTAAAACAAACCCAGGGTTACACAAACAAGAGCAGCAGAGCTTTGTGCTTGCAAAAGGACATACCCACAACTACACAGAGTTATGCAGCTAGCTTTACAGATAAGATACTCAAACAGCTACAGAGATGAGAGGAGTTTCTTATAAAAGCTTTTGGAATCAACTGTAAAAATGGCAACATGCTTGGGCTCCCCTCTCCTCTGCGGAGAGCTTTCTTCTTTTGCTTATTAAACTTTCGCTCCAACCTCACCCTTTGGGTGGTCTATGCCCTTTAATTCTCTTGGTTGTGAAACGAGCTCGGATAACACCTTAGACAATGTGACCGGTGACCCTGACCTGTTTCACAGATGCCACTGCAGTGTAAGGGTCAGTCACCAATACTTACCCTGGCTACACACACTCCATACCCTGACATTTTCTACCCTTTTTCAGAAAAATGCCAGCCCTTTGCCTGGATGTCATGATCACACATGGTCACAACCTGATTTGGAAAACACCAGCACCAAAGACCTCTTTGCTAAACAGACAAGGGAGGTAAGAGAGGTGGGTGGCAAACCCCACCCATTTGCTTCTGCACATCGTTTTTGTCTCTCCTGGGCCCTATTGTGTGCCTGGCACTAAGCTGGATCCTGGGGGCACCATCATGTGCCAGGGAGAGAGGCTTCCGGTGTGGACCAGGGTGTAGCGTGAACCACCAACTACTTTCCTATTAGTTTCTCTCGGCTGCCATAACAAATCACCACATACTTGGTGGCTTAGAATCTTACAGCTCTGGAGGCCAGAAATCCAAAGTCAGTTTCACCAGGGTGAGACCAAGGGGTCTGCAGGCCCTGGGGAGAGCACGTTTCTTGCCTCCTCCAGCTTCTGCTCTGACACCCTCTGGCTTGTGGCTGCATCGCTTTGTCTTCAGTGCCAGCATCCTCAGCTCTGTCTTCATGCGGCCTTCTCCTGTCTCTGTGTGTCTAGTCTCCCTCTGTCTCTCTCTTATAAGGACTCTTGAGATGGCATTTAGGGCCCACCTAAATAATCCAGGATAATGCCCCCATCTCAAGATGCTTAATTTAATCACATCTGCAAAGACCCTGTTTCTATTTTTTTCTTCCAGATGGGCTCTCGCTCTGTCACCCAGGCTGGAGTACAGTGGTGAAATCTCGGCTCACTGCAACCTCTGCCTCCCGGGTTCAAGCAATTCGCATGCCTCAGCCTCCCAAGTAGCTGGGATTATAAGCATGCGTCACCACATCCGGCTAATTTTTGTATTTTTAGTAGAGACAGGGTTTCACCATGTTGGCCAGGTCTCAAACTCCTGACCTCAGGTGATCTGCCCTCCTCGGCCTCCCAAAGTGCTGGGATTACAGACGTGAGCCACCACGGCCAGCCTGCAAAGACCCTGTTTCTAAGTGATTTTCCCTTCTCAGGTATCAGGGATTGAAACCTGGCTGTTTTAGAGGGCTATTTCTTGGCCTACCACAATCCTCTTTTTTTTTTTTGAGATGGAGTCTTGCTCTGTCATCCAGGCTAGAGTGCAATGGCGTGATCTTGGCTCACTGCAACCTCCGCCTCCCCAGTTCAAGCCATTCTCCTGCCTCAGCCTCCGGAATAGCTGGGATTACAGGCGCCCACCACCACGCCCAGCTAATTTTTTGTATTTTTAATAGAGATAGGGTTTTACTATGTTGGTCAGGCTGGTCTCAAACTCCCGACCTCCAGTGATCCACCCACCTCGGCCTCCCAAAGGCAGGGGATTACAGGCGTGAGTCACCGCACCCGGCCCAACCTGAGTTTTTATAAAGTCATTCTGGATTCTTGGTGGAGAAAACTGGAAAAAGATGAGAGGCAGTGACGAGACAGCTAGGTGGCTATTTGTCACCAAAGTGAGAGGTGACACTGGGTCAGACAGCCGTGACAACAGAGATAGATGCAAGAGGTCTCTGGAGGTGCAACTGACAGGCCATGGTGCGCGATGGGAAGATGACACCAAAGAAGGGCTTCCAGTCTGTACATCAGCCTGAGCCGGGAAGATGGCGAGTTTGGTTTGGGGCACAAATGTTTAAAAAGCCTCCAGGGACATCCAGAGAAGCCTTGCTAAGGAGCTGTAGGGAGCTGCCCATTCGGCCCGGGGCCTGCCCTCTTTCTCTTCTCCCATGTGGCCACCACCCAGGGCTTAGCCAGAGCAGATCTTGGGGGCACCTGGGTCCGGTGAGGACACTGGGACGCTCTTGCTATTTCCCTGTCCCTTTTTTTCTGAGGGTGTGGATGTAACTGTTCCTCCCACAGGCAGGACAGAATCCGAGATGAGAAAGTGGGACCCATAAGGGGTTTCCCACTCTGGCTGTGCCTCATGGAGAGGTTAACATTAAAAGATGGAGGATGGAGACCTGGTGCAGTGGCTGATGTCTGTAATCCCAGAACTTTGGGAGGCCAAGGTGGGAGGATCCTTTGTGCCCAGGAGTTGGATACTAGCCTGAGCAACAGGTTCTACAAACAACAACAACAAAAAACAAAAACAGCTGGGCGTGGTGGCTCACGCCTGTAATCCCAGCACTTTGGGAGGCCAAGGTGGGTGGATCACCTGAGGTCAGGAGTTCGAGATCAGCCTGGCCAACATGGCAAAACCCCATCTCTACTAAAAATAAATATAAAATAAAAAATTAGCTGGGCATGGTAGTGCACGCCTGGAATTGCAGCTACTCAGGAGGCTGGGGCAGGGAGAATTGCAACCCCGAAGGTGGAGGTTGTAATGAGCCAAGATTACGCCACAACACTCCAGCCTGGGCAACAGAGCAAGACTCCATCTCAAAACAAACAAACAAACAAACAACAACAACAACAAAAAGCAGCCAGGTGTGGTGGCACACACCTGTAGTCCCAGCTACTCAGGAGGCTGAGGCGGGAGGATCACCTGAGCCCAGGAGATCAAGGGTGCAGTGAGCCGTGATCATGCCACTACACTCTAGCCTGGGTGACAGAGCAAGACCTCATCTCAAAAAAAAAAAAAAAAAGAAAAGAAAAGAAAAGGAAAAAAAAAAGAAAAAGGAGAAAGAGGAGGAGGAGCTAGAGGAGGAGAGGAAAGATAAAGAACTGTTCTTTTCGTCTCTCTTGTTGCCCAGGCTGGAGTGCAGTGGTACCACCTCGGCTCACTGCAACCTCCGCCTCCCAGGCTCAGGCGATCCTCCCTCTTCAGCCTCCCCAGTAGCTGGGACCACAGGTGGGCACCACCATGCCGGGCTAATTTTTTTTTTTTTTTTACTTTTTGTAAAGAAAGGGTTTATTCATGTTTCCCAGGTTGGTCTCGAACTCCTGGCCTAAAGTGATCCGCCTGCCTCAGCCTCCCAAGTGCTGGGATTACAGGTGTGAGCCGCAGTGCCTGGCCCTTTTTTCTTAATAAATAAATAAATAAATAAATAAATAAATAAAATACAATGTAGGAATTGCCCCTTTAAGACAGAAAAGAACCTCACCCACCCAGCAGTAAGAGGCCCCAAGCTTTTTGCTGTGTGTCAGGGAGGCTTCAGAAGGGCCTCAAGTCCCATCTTGCTGTTGTTCTGGCAGAACTCCCAGCCCCAACCTCCTCATTCCCAGGCTCCTGACTCCTGAGGAGAAAGGGTAAGAACTTTCCAGATACACACACACACACACACACACACACACACACCACCCTGAGGAAATGAACTAGCTCATCTTCTCAATTAAGCTTGAGTTGATTTCAAGCTTGAAAAACAGTTTAATTAAATTACATAAGTCAGGAAACAATGGTAGGGCTGAAAAATGATAGCTTGTTTGTTTGTTTTTTAAATAATGATGGTTCATGCCTGTAATCCTAGCACCTTAGGAGACTGAGGAAGGAGGATCACTGGAGCCCAGGATTTCAAGACCAGCCTGGGCAACATAGAGAGACTCCATCTCTACTGAAAAACAAAATTAGCAGGGCGTGGTGGCGTGTACCTGTAGTCCCAGCTACTCAGGAGGCTGAGGTGGGAGGATGGCTTGAACCCAGGAGGGTTGAGGCTGCAGTAAGCTGTGATTGCACCACTCCAGCCTGGGTGACAGAGCTAGACCTTGTCTCAAAAAAAAAAAAAAAA